GGGGGGGGGGGGGGGGGGGGGGGGGGGGGGGGGGGGGGGGGGGGGGGGGGGGGGGGGGGGGGGGGGGGGGGGGGGGGGGGGGGGGGGGGGGGGGGGAGGCAGCGCGGGAAAAATGCGGCGTAATTAAACAAGCCGTAGCCCGTAGCTGCTGAATTCACGTCGGCACGGCGAGGCACTTCTGGCGCCGTGGCAGCACGTCACACTCAAGAACGAGGGGAAAAGGAGATAGGGAGAAAGAGGAGAGGAGGAGTGGAAGAGCCCAACCACTGAGTATTGGGGCTGACTATGCAGGTGAGACTTTCCAAGATCAGGACCGTGTACAAAAGAACGCCGTGTTAGCTCTCCGTTTGCACCAGGTGATACACGTATGTACGCCAGGCGGTAGCAGTTATGTAGCAGTAGCAGTCTATGGCACAACAACGTTTTCAGCTGCTCTGCCAATACTTGTACGAACTCTGCTGCATCATTCGCTGTCTCTGTCTCTGTCTCTGTCCGTTTCTCGTCCTCTCGTCTCTGCATGTCTACATGTAATTTGAATATTCATACCCTCAACCTTGCTGCCAGTTGATGAGTCAAGCCGCGGGTACTGCTGTTTACACGAGTGCTCGGCGGCAAGTGGTCTCAATATGACATCGCTATGTGCCAATTGTGGCCACCCCAGAGCAAGGAGTAGTTGCATACGGCAACCTTTTGGAGCTTGATCTCGTCGCGCTGTTGGTTCCATGTATTCTGCGGTGGGACACGCCATCTCACAACTGCCAGACAACCTCTCGCAACCTTCCGTATCCACAGCAGTACACCATTGTACCGCGGTAGCTGGGCACCGACCGCACACGATGATCACGGGAGATGGAGAGAGTCACAGCACCATGCCGTGGCCTCACGAAACTCTAATATTGTTTCTGTCGGTGGTGGAGGTTGGTGGGTGTGCCGAAAGACACAGCAGCAGTCTACTGTTTACAGCAGTAGACCAGCGCTTTCCAACTCTCCCGGGATTTTCCAAGGGCCTCTCTGTGCGCGTTGGAACGGAAGCCTCGAATGACACGCTCATGTCTTGCTGGAATGCAACCTGGCCGAGGTGGCGGATCGTGCTATATTGACAAGTAATCGGTGCCCGATAGGTCCCATTTCGGGCAATAATGCTGTCATGATGTTTGCATACGAAACCCACAATCGAGTTCGCACACGCGACTGATGGACCTACACTGCTGTTGTTGTTGAGGCCCCTGCTTTCCCTCCACATCGAACGAGATGTTGTCCCGACTGCCGCAGCGCCGCGGATCGTGGAAAACATCAAGGACTTTTCGATCGGGTCTTGGGGACGATAATGCTTTCTGAAGGTCATCCATGGTCAATATGTATACATTCCCACTCTTTTTAGAAAGTAAGCATAACCTCACAAAGACTACCCGTTCGAGATTTAACCTCAGTCGAAAGGGATGTGAAGTCTTTTCAGTAAGTGGATTGAAACCAACTGAAGACTTGGCTTATTTTGAGTTTGTGTAAGCCTAACACTGAGTTATCTGTAATGCTAGTTGGAGCTACGAACAACAGCATCTGTATAGGCGGGTACATTCTTAATTTTATGTGGAATGTGGCCTTCACAGGGACCCTTTTTGAGGATGTGCCCGCTCCCAGCCGGAAGCGAACCTTAGATTGAAGAATTTATTTCGGGGCAGGGATATGAGTTTGTTTAAGACGCAACCTCTAGTGTTCTCCCTAGACCGCTTTAGCCCGGCCATACGGATGGGCTCAATCATATGTGTTAACGTGGAGTCCCAGATAACTCGGACGACCACGGCGCCTTTCTTTCGGATGAACAATATGTTGAACAATGTGGCCGAAAAAGCGTTTTTTGTTCGCGTTTTGAAGAACCCGGTGTCGGGAGGTCGGGGGAAAGAGTGGCTCCCATAAGCATCGCAAGCCACACCCTCTCACTTCCTTTCCTTTTTGTCGTTTCGGCCGCCGAACACACAAGGCACTCACGGCATGTGCGTTCGCCGGGAGCGGCGTGACCCGGGAGGAGAGCGTGGCATTGGACAAGGTCAAGCCGAGCCTCTTCGAGCGCCTTGGCCAGGACACAATCGAAGGGATATCAGCGTTGTTTTATGACAGGTAGGTGTACAGGCCAGGCTTCACTTCGGGGCGCGCCCCTCCGATATGTTTTCAGCCGTGGCGTCCGACCGCGCCTTCCGCGCTTGTGTCGAGATATTGTACCAGTACGGTATTTGGTTCGCCTCTTGTGTGCACTGGTTCGTGTTTTCGCGTGGGGTATCCCGAGCGGCTGAGAGGGCGTCAGAAGCGCCGCACTTTCTGTGTCGGTACCTGCTGCTGCTCTTGCTGCTGCATTTACTGGTTTGTTTGTGTGGCCACTACTGCTGTTGCTCTGATTTAGTGATTCGTGCTATCGATATCAACGTCCTGCCTCCCGAGCGCCCGACGTATCCAGCCCTGCGTGGGGACGTCGCAAAACTTTGACACCAGTCCTCAAACGTTGCAAGGTGTTTCTTACGTCGTCTTTTTGTTGTTGTTGACGTCATGAGTCTCGTGCGCGCGAACGCAGGGTCTTCGACGACGAAGAGTGGTTCAGATCGATCTTCTCGGCTTCGACCAAGAGGGAAGCTGTTCAAAACCAGGTGAGCGACTTGTTCTTGTTCCCCCTTCGAGCGAGCGGATTGGCTCCGGTGTAACGGCATATGCTTCGCCGGAATCATACGAATTTTGTCGTATTTTGTGAGGAAAAACATACAAAAAACGAATTTGCGAACACCTTCTGTTGCTGCCGGCACTCGGCAAGGATGGGGTACTCTCCGGGTTGTGCTCAGGCTAAGACAGTCGCCCGGTTTCGCCGATCGCACGTTGTGGGATCGGCACCCATGGCGGAAGAAGCAGGTCTTCCTGGAAGGCGCTCTTCCGTCGTTGTGCTGCAGTTTTCGCCACACAGGGTTGATGTGTTTTTTTTCAGCCCCGTTTTTCGTCTCGTTCTTTTTTATCGTCGGATGAGTTGACGTTGGGCTTGGGGCATATGTCGCACGTCGCCGCATACCCCGCCACCGACCACGAGAACTGCTTTGCTGTTTTGCACCGTTAGTTTCCATTTGGTTTCTAGAATTGTGTACCCACTTTGGGGGTTGATGGCTTGTGAACACAGAAGGCGCCCGAGTCAACTGGACCAGTAGGATAACGGATATTAGAAGGTACAGTACTGAGTAGAGACCGAAACGATTTTTTTATGTGAGGACAACAACAACAACAACAACGTGCAGGCGGATTTCCTCGTCGAACGACTCGGCGGCCCCAAATTGTACACGAAGAGGAAGGGCAAGCACTACCGGTTGATCCACAGGCACTCGCCGTATGACCTGAACCCGAAATCAGCCGCGCGATGGCTTGAGGTATGGCGTATTAGTCGCGAGAAAGGCTTGCAGTTGCTTTGCGACAAACGCCATTTGAGAGAAACAAGAACATGGCTATGTGATACACGTCAGTGAGGTACAAGGGAGACCTTAAATGACCCCGAGCCGCTTTCAGCCTGTCGCCGCGACCCTATGCCGGGAACAACTACGTAGCGGGACCTTCATCGTACTGGTGCTACAATACTGCAGGGATAATCCATATAGTACATGTTTCGTCATAAATACGACCCGAAGTTGTCTGTTGGCAAAGAGCGAATCAGCCTCTAGACGGCCATACTACGACTCCGTTGACATAATACCACGTCGGCGACGCCCAAGTTCTCCCTTGTGCTGAAGTCACGACATCTTATGGACTTCTCACCGACCTGCGCTTTCGACTTTCCTCCCTCGTTCTGCGTTGCCATTGGTATCGTTGCAAGAAGCACATGGAGGCAGCGATCGATGCGAGCGGGGGGGTGGACGCAGAATCGAAGAGACTGCTGATGGCCTTCTTCTCGCACATGGCGTTCTTTTTGGTCGCGGGCAAGGATATGTCCAACCCCAGTAACCTGGTCGATTACCATAACAAAATGGCCGAATCTTGCCCGAAGATCTAGAAGCAAATACATGGATTTTATGATTTTGTATGCAGCCCGTATTTGGATGACCCCCCGCCCCCCCTGCACCCGAGCTCTTCTGTTGTAAGAAAAATCAGAGAGGACCGGAGCAGCGGGGGCATGTTTACCTAGCATGGCCGTTTTTGGAAGTGGACGGAAGGGCAAGTTCAAGTAGACGATCGACTCATCACGACGTTTTTCCGAACTTGTTGTCGCGCAACCAGCGGCGTCGTTCGAGGAATTGTGCGTGTGTGTGTGTGTGTGTGTGTGTGCGTGTATTAATAGTCAAGTCCTTCTTGCACCGTCGTGCTTCGTTCTTGTATGTCAAATGAACAACGGGGTTACGATAGTCTAAGGCTTCGCTGCCAATCAGCGTTTTCACCTTCGTACTTTCCTATCGCGCATGCTTGGCCGCTCCTATACACACGATTCAGTAATATTTTCGGACAACTGCCATTTGTTTTTGGTTTCCCACCGCGCCAATCGCCGTCTGCGGTCCGTTTTTTGTCTATTGGGAACCGAAACTTGTTGCCGTGTGGATGTCCCGCGGTCGCCCGGCGTTAACGTGGTCGATACCTCCTCCGCCGGACGAACATGGCACCCAATATCCGATGGCGGAATCGCAGTTGCGTCACGATTTGGTCTACACTGGGACGGAAGTTTGCCAAACGTCGTCCAGGAGAAGACCTTTCTCTTTGTCCTCTCCTTGCATGGAGCGTGGGGCGGAACCGCGACTGACTTGAGTCTTGGCTGCATGAGACGAAGCACGAAACGTTTGCGCCCTGAAGCCGCCTTGTGCAATCCCGACAAGAAGGCCCCGCGCACGCACATCAAACAGCGAGATGGTGATCGAAAGAGTAATCCCATCAGCGTTTCTCATCACTCGAGACCTCCTAACCCACGCAGGGAACCTCGCGCCTTGTGCTGCTTGATCATTCAAGCGACTCATGTGTTGCGTGGATGGCACGTATTTTCCTCCTACTTCTATTCATGCGTCTGAGGTCAACTCTGCCACCTTGCTTTTCACTGGCTCCTCAATATTTATTCTCGAAAGAATACAAAATCAGTGAACGAGCACGGTGAAGTCCATGGGAACTCGCAGAACAATGAGAGCTGAATTGCCCGATACTGACAATAGTTTATCATCGCCGTCATACTGAACATGTGCTACAAACAGTGCACTCACCCATGATCTCTTACCTGCCTTCCAACGCTGTGCATCATGCATTTATTACGCGTCCATCATATAGTCCAAAAATTCTGCCATGTCTACCTTCCCGCTGCCGTCACGGTCGAAGAAGCCAAAAATTTCTTTTAACTCTCGGTTGGTCAGTCCAAACCCTGACGCAACCATGAGCCTATTGAGCTCTGTTATGTCGACGTTTCCATCCTTGTTGTGATCGATCGCTCGGAAAGCATCCTCAAACTCCGCCCGTGTGTTCTGTTGTTTGCAAGTATGGGGTACCCATCGGGAAGCGGCGGGAGAGGGAGGAAAGTAGTGGGAATGATGAAGTGCACGTGTATGTGCCGCCGACCAGCCCGTAGCAAAAAAGTGGTGGTTAAGGATACGGGCCAGCACGAACGTTTCGCACCTGGTCCCCCTGTTTGCAGGAAAGACCATGGCGGCTAGTCAGCCTTGAGAATAATGTAAAGTTGAAGCCTCATCAGCAGAATGTCAAGCCTCCGGACTTGCTTGCCGTCCGTTGTAGGATAGAGCAAAGATGTACTAATACGGCATTCCAGCTCTTCTCTTCGAAGGGGGACCCTTCTCCAAGAGATTCAAGGCCCAACAACTATGCCCGGAATGACCTAAAGTATATGCTCTCTTCCCTCGCAAGCATGATCAAGCACGATGTTTTGATGGTTGCTGTTATCGTTTCGAAGCAGAGATCTTCGTGAATCCTCACGCCATGACCTCATCATGGAGATCGACCACATGGTGAATATTTCACAAACAGCACCGGAAACTTAGACCTGGGCGATTTGCGCTTTTTAATGTGGGATTTGCGTGTGGATCCCGGCAGGTGGTGGCAAAGGCTGACAACGTCAGACGTTAGTCTGTCCATCTAGCTCGCAGGTAGCAGGTGATGCTACTGCTGTAGACTTGTTGATGTTGAATGGGCGCTTGCGGCCGACAAAGACTTGTAGAGAACGATAGACTTTAGCAGTCTAGGGAAGAACACAGGAGAGAAGCAGAGTGAGAGAGAAGGGGGGCAAGCTGGCTGCATCTCTTCTCTTTCTAGAATAGCAGACATACACACATGTTCTATACTAGTTCTAGAGGCTGTGCTGGAAAAAGACCGGTCCGGAAAAGTTCCGGGATCCGCAATACTGTTCCAGGAACCAAAAGGGTCCTACGTGGTTTCCTTGAACCAACTACTTTTCTTCAGAACGTTCCTCAAGACGTGGCGCAACCGTTCAGATCTCCACTGCCATGATACTACTGAACATTGACTTATGTAGCCTTCCTAATCCATAACACTATTGTCCTGAGTATAAAGAGGAAGGTCCTTGTATCACGCATTCGTGTAATCGGGGTGCTCCCACCAGCGCACCGTCGTATGCACCATATGTATCGTTCTTCTTTGTGTGGCTGCCGTGGACCTTTCGTAAAAATACCGCTACTTTGTGCTCCATGTTTCGCAATAAAAAATCGATGCTACGCACACGTGCAATATTAAAATATCTTCCAAGTTTCGATATTTCTACCAACCAAGCCCTTGAATATACAACACGGACGATGTCTCAGCTGCAAAGGAGGGGGAAAGAGACCCACCTTGTATGTGAGCCTTGCCGTCATCAGTAGCTTGAACTCGTTGAAATCTAGTGTGCCTGTCTTGTCTGCATCGTACTCGCGAAATATGTGGTCGGTCTCCTCCTCGGTCGGATTCTGCCCCAGTGACCAAAGCGCATCTTTCAGCTCGGACTTCGTGACTGACCCATCTCCGTTCACGTCACACAGCTTTATTCGGGAAAGAGAAGACCGGCATTTGTTTGACCAGCAAGCAAATTTCAAATACAACGTAAGCGAGGGCCCACCGCGAAGTCGTCCGTTGTTGTCTGTGTCTCCTTGATCGCTGTTGTGAGTGTTTCCTGTGCAGAATATGCACTTTCAGCTTGTAAAGTATGGTACACTTTCCACCGTATTGAACCAGTAACCAGGCAGTTGCTCCCAAAACTTGACTGTCACATGATGAGCGATTTTCCTTGAGCTCCATCAACCCTCCTCGTAACCGAGGTCCCGAAAAATGCCAACACAAGTATATCATCATGTACACCCCTTTGCAGATTACCTTGAATATTTGCACTAATTCATCTTGCTCTTCTGCCGTGAGCTCTCTTTCGCCTGTAACGCGCGACCTAGGCGGGGACACATGACCGACGACTCTGCCGATAACTGATGCAGCAGCAACCGAGCGGGGCATCTCCGTCAAATCCGGGTGGGGCCTACTCCAAGTGTGCTAAAGGGTATCAGCCTCTCTTCAAGCATTTCGATGTCAAGTGCACCACGTAGAACAGCTCCCGCAAAAAAAAAATACCACACAGCAATGCGAAATAGTTGTGCGGGTTCGGGGATCGGGATTCGAGGGTAGGCCTGTCCTCCATCGGCCGTTTTGCTTGTATGACGGAGAATAAGAAGGTGGAATTACTTGAAATTAGTATAGAAATAAAGTTTGTGTATCTAAATCGAAAATAAAACGGCCGATGGAGGACAGGTCGATTCGAGGGTCAAACACCAAACATCATCAAACAAACATCAAACAAGGGCGTCCGCGGTTCCACCGCAGTAAAGTTCCCCTTGAACGTGAGCAGGAACAACAAGTCATGCCGCACATCCCGAACCACGCCGTACATGGCGCCGAGATCGTTCTTCCCTGCTGCTTGTATGACCCTCTCAATGGCATCAGCGTCGGCGCTAGGTTCGTGCATGTGACGTTTGATTGGGAGTGGGCCTGGTGTTACTCGACAGAGGAAAGCCTCATGCACCCTGCGCCAACTGTTGGTTGCACCGCCGACAATCACTCCCTTCGTGCTGCGAGGCAGCTCTATGGCGGTGATCCTGCATCAGACCAACGTCTAGCAGGGTCAGTGGCCAATACCCCCCCCTGCTACTACCATAACCAGCAGAAAGCGGGGGTAAACCAACACAGGGCAATCAAGAAACGTCGAAGACGACCGCGGAGCAAATCGAAGGTCTGTAGAAATGAAAGCAATGCGAAGCACTACGCCGGTGGCGGTGCTGGCAACCAGGCGGTGCCCAGAACAGAGCAACGCTTAGCAGCCCTGCAAGTGGCGGATGACAAAGTACACACACGCTCCGATGATCATTTTTCCACAGTGCAGCTGAAGGCCAAGAATGACTGTAGAACGCGGGACGCTGGGGCACCTATCGCACGTTCGTTGACTCCAAGAACCAACGAGTGCACGGCAAGCGTTGGGCCTGTACGCGGGGCCAGACGGAAGACTCGAATTGGTAGAGGCAGAAAGTTCCCTAGATCAGGCCAAGAAGTGCCCAAGAAAATGACGTCGACGCTGAGCCAGCGTGAGCTTAACATGCAGATGCGGCTGCTCTCGCCTGGCGAACAAGGAATCATCGACCACGTGCTAGAGACGTTCGCAGCTCAGGTTGACGGGAAATCAATGCGCACACGAGACCTTTTCAACCTGGTGAGTTCCGAACAAAGTTGTCGGCGTACTTTGAACCGAGACGTGCTCTTTACCTGTAATGAAAAGGGGGGTGGGGTGTTGGTGGCCGTCTTGAACGTCTGTCCATCCCTTTCGGTGTACATTTTTGACGAATAAGCGGGGTCAGCCGTCTCTTGGTTCACAACATATTTTCATGCGAAGTACATGAGTTGCCAAAGCGCACATGCACGTCAATTGAGTCTACTGGTCCAGGCTCATCCAGAGAGCGAGCGAGAAGGTAGAGTTTAGCACTCTTTTGTGTGTGCCTTGTGGTAAACCATAAACGATTATAATGAAGAATTACTAATTAGTATTGTAGGCAGGTTGGAGCGCTGCAGTGTTCGGAATACTGCCATCTCCTGGCCTGATTTGTTTGTCGCTGTCGAACGGCGCTCTGCTGTCTTCCGCAGATGGATAGCAACCGCGACAACGTTTTGACCCGGTCGGAGCTGAAAGAGGCACTGGTCAACCGCCAGCTAGTCCTCCGAGATGAACAGCTGACACATCTATTGGCCTTCTTCGACGTTCATGGTCACGGCTACGTTACTCTTGGCGACCTCCATGATTGCCTCAGGACATTCCGCGCGGTGCGCCATCGTACGAAGATTCACGGGCAGTCGACCAGGTTGCCCCGACCCCAGCCGCGCCCGCCACCTGATTCAACAGCAGTCACTCGATTGCAGTCGGCGTTGCTGGCTCCCCTCACGCTCTTCTCGGCACAAGCGCCAGTCGAGGGGCAACGGAAGCATCAGCGATACACGAAAAACGCAAGCGAGAAGCGAATTCTAGAGCAGGAGGCCGGAATAAGCTTTCTAGACATCACGGATCCCGAGATTAGTTCTCTCGCAGACTTTTTGATGGATGCGGAGAAGAAGGGAGGTCGTCCTCACGGGGGTCTGCCGTCAAATCCGGTGGATCATATACCGCCGACCGATGCGCATCAGCCAAACGCCCTGCGCCCGCTACCACTTGTCATGGCCGCACTAGAATCCGCCGCTTCGCGAGCACCCGGCTGCATCAATCAGGACGGGCAGCAGACGGGAGGTATTCGCGGCCCTGGGGCAGCAGCCGTCCAATGCTCGGCCGCAAGAGTCTTGTGGATCTTGAGGGGCCTTCAGAGGGTATGGCGGCAAGAAGACCGTCATCGCAAGGCAAAAACGCTCATCCAGGAATCGGCCGACGAGTTCACCGACGAGAAGCTGAGCGCCGCCGTGGGGTTGTTTGACGTCGATAGCCAGGGACACATAGACCTCGAAGACGTGATGACCGTCTTTCGGAAAGCGCGGGTCGACAAGTTTGTCCGGGGGCGACTACCAGCCGCAGCTATCCCGTCACTTGTTGCGATTGGGCGTCACCTCGAAAGTCGCAAAATATCGGCTCACGATTTCGTTCAGGACGCAGCTGCGTCGACCATCGTAGATCCCTCGGAGCCCTGCGGGCATAAAAGAGACCTGAAGCCAACTCCCAAGCGAAAACGCGCCGCGAAGCGAGACAACACCCAGACAGCTACGACGGCGCAGCTTGGAGCGCTATTGTTCTCGGAGCTGCAGCTGGATGCGGAGCAGAGAAACCTCGTTCTGGAGTGCATCGAAGAGGATGGGCTCGTCTCTGGCGCCAACCTAGCTGGAGGTGTGCGCCGGGCCAGAGGAGAGCTTGCTCATCGGAAGCTTGAGAGGCTGGAACAACAGCAGAGTATGGTTGATGATGGTCGATGTCGGAGTAGTGAAACGGGCAGCCAAGTGTCAGAAGTTACTGGGAGTGCATGTAGCATCATCTCTCCGCCAAGGTTCCGTCGGCAGGCTGGAGTAGCACCTACAGCGGAGGAAGGAATGTTGGCGCCGCTTCAACACAAGCACCAGCGAGACGGTTTTAACCAAAGCGATGCGTCCTTGATCCTCGAACTCTTCGTCAAGGAAGGAGGGGGGCTAAGGAATCTTACCGGCAAGAGCGCGGCGAGGCTTTGGCGCGGTCTTAAGCGACGAGGACGTGGCGTGCACGCCCATGAAAACGGCCGCTCGGCAGCTAGGCGCCTCCTGCAGCTCCTTGGGTCCCGGGACATCAAACCACTCCAATGGTTTGCCACCCTTGACCCTACGGCTGAAAGCTCTGCCCCAAGCGATGAAGGTAGCTTCATGGAGCGTCGTGTTGCGATGTCGTCCATCGTTCAAGGTGTGCAAGCTTTGGACGGGACGACCCGAACGGGCCCACCCGGGGAGGCGAACACAGTCCACACGGCATCCGACGACGAAGGTGCCACCGATTCACTGGAAGGGACTCTCAGCAGCAACGACGGCAGTTACAGCAGCACCGGGCAGACCGCCGGAAAGAACGACAAGGCTCAGAGGTGGACCAAGGCGCAGTTGTCCGACTTGGTCCGTCACCTAGACCCCTGCGGAGAAGGCAGCATAACGCAGGAAGTCTTTCAGGAGGGGTTGTGCGTCTGCCGCGGAGATCGAGGAGCTTATCCTGACGCCGCTCACCTCGCGGCAGCGCGCCGCCTCGAGGACGCGTTGCGGGATGATGGCTGCAGAGACGTTTGTGGAATGTTCCACTCATTGGCGGGTGAAGGGAGGGGTGGTGGGGACCTCGTTGGGTACGTTAGACAGATGGGCGACTTCGCGAAAAGATCAGCACGCGAGCTCGAGGCCGCAGCGAGGCAAGAGCGGATGGGGAGGGCTCTTTTGGAGCGCGAAACGGAGAGTCGAAACTCGAAGGCATGAACCACAGTTTCTATTGCCTGTTTCTGTATTCTCTCTCTCTCTCTCTCTCTCTCTCTTTCTCTTTCTCTCTCTCTCGCTCGCTCGCTCGCTCTCTCTGCATATATCCATCTCTAAATATTTACTGTTATATCCCTGATCTCTGCACACAGACAATCACGTTGCTTAGGGAGCACCTCTATATATTTTCAGGAGGTTTTAATGCCTCCCGATTACATAAATTCAATGATGCTTGTCAAACGCGGCGCAACTTCTACCGTGTGCGCGCATGGAACAGGAGGCCCAGCGCATCAGCACGCACAGATCTGCGCTTTGTGAGAGAGTTTCTCGGCCAGAAAACGCTTGTGCTCTCAGGACTATTCAGAAGCTAGACGAGCTGATGAGCTTGCAAGGAAGACGTCTCGTCGTCGAGTTTCATCAAGCGGACACCAACCGTTCGGGAGGGGTGAGGCGAATAGTATGGAGTCGCTAGCGATACAGGTCGTAGGATGTGGATAGCTTGCGACAGATTAGTGCCAATAGACGAGAGAAAGGAAGGCGGTGAGCCGTCGAACAGCCTGACAATTGTAACGATGTCACGATGAACCTTCCCATGTTGTGGATGCTACTGCGAAAACCTTCGCCAGAGATAATCCCACAAAACAAATTATTCCCTATTCGCGGTTGGCCAGTCCGCGACACCGTCTGCTGTTGCTACCTCTGCGATATTCCTGTGGAAAATAAGGTGGATCCCACGGAGCTCAAGAAGGTGATGAAAAACCTGGTTCAGCCTTGTTCATTGCTGCGCTTCGAGCGCAAACGGCGGCGGGAACGGCAACAGGCGGCGGCGGTGACCTCTCAAAATGCGGAGCGTTGGAAGAAGGGTTTCATGGAAAAAATGGAGGCACTGGACAAGTCCAAGGCTTCCAACTTTCTCGATATCATTTCCACCGCACTCCGCAACAGAAGATGGCAAATCAGAGACGTTTTCAGGGACGTCGACAAAGGAAAATCAGGGGCTTTGGGTGAGCTCTATCATGTTGCATCGTGCCAAGAAGAGAGGCGCGATCAGCGCTAGCAACCAGTCGTTCAGCCTCGTCTATACCGGTAGGGGCGCAAAACGAACATGCTACAAAGGTTGAAACTCCAGGTCCCGCTTCGGTCAGACTCTCAAGTACTGGACTTGTTTTGTTCTCGCCAGTTCTCGCTGTACAATCTCCAACGATGCGGGAGCCTTCCACGATTGTCTCCGCAAAGAAGAACAATAAACCTCGACTTCTTTCTCACGATCGCGAGGACTTCAATCGGTCTTGCAACACCTTAGCGCTCGGCACCCCCGCTGTGTTTGAGGCTACCCTTACTGCGTGGCGTCGGGCCAAGTCGAGAGCTAACATGTCACTGTGATGTTCTTACGCGACCACCTCTCTTGTTTGGCCATCTGCTGCCGCAACGCAAACTCTGTGGCAGGCGTGGACGACCTGCTGGAGAACACGCACCTTGCCCTCGGCCTGAAGCTGGACAGGGGCGAGGCGGCGGCGCTGGTCTCGATGCTGGACACCAACGGTGACAAGTCCATTCAGTGCGAAGAGCTCGAAGTGCGTATGTATCGATGACGCGCGTGTCTCTAGGAGGCTGGGGGTATCCATCCGCCCCTCTGTTGAATATTCTTGCCCAATCGTATAGCATCTTCCGTGAGGGGGGCAATGGATTGTGGTGTTTTATACCAAGAACTAGTCAGGGGATTGGCATGCTTTGCCGTATTTCAGGGCACGTGGCGCCGACGGGGGGTCGGAGCGGTAGCGGTCGTGGGAAGTAGCAATGAATTTTTTCTAGGTTCTAACACGCAATTGAACCGGGAACATTCTCTCGTGCTTCTGGGCCCGGGTTCGCCTTGCATCCTCAGCCAACACGCATGTTGTACTGACCCAAAATCTCTGGGTCTTCAATCACTACGGGAGGCACTTTACGGTACCGAACACATGATCTACACACCTAGACAAGGTAGCATCCCGTACGGGCAGAGGCCGCAACAAAGCTCAACGAATAGCAGGGATGCAAAGAACGAGGGTCCTTAGCACCGTCGAAAGCAGTGGCAAGGTCTACTTAGCTGACCACCCTCTTGATCGCTTCCCGTCTTGCTCGACTCTCTCTTCGCCGCCTCTTCGGCCAACAATACAACAACAGCTCGCCCTCCGCCTGTACCGAAGGTACGGGTGGGAGAGGCACCGGTGGTCGAGAAGGAAACCCTTCCACGAAGAATTCCCCTCTCTTTCGTGCCTGTTCCGACGGACTACCCGGGCAGAGGGGGACGGGGCGGGCCTGCAACAGCAACAACGAAATCCGGCCCTTCCCCGTGACACCAAGGTCAACCGCGGGGATATCGTGACCGCGCTCGTGCGTCTCCGTGGGGGTTCGAGCGGGGACGCGGTGGGTGGGAACCGCGGCAGGGGGCAGCTCCTGCCGGCATACGGCCCGAACATCCAGCGGCGGCGAGTGCTGCTGAAGGCCGTCCGGAAGGTCGCAAACTGCTGCCAGACAGCCGGCGTGAGGACCGCCCCGGCGCTGCTGGCGACTCTGGCCCACTTCGACTTCGGCCCCGTTGACGAGGCCAGGCGCAAGGCGGGCCGCATGCGCGCGGTCGACCTGTGGCATTGGCTTCGACTGCTGAGCGCGCCAACAGATGACCCGGGCGGCAGCTTCATGGGGGGGAGCTTCAACGACAACGCTAACCGCACCAAAGGCGTTCATGGGCAGCGACGAAAGAAAGATGTTTTATGTGGTCGAAACAAGAGCATCTATGGGTTTGGGGACTGCGGTGGTGGCCGCGGCGGCGCCCACAAGACCGTCGACGAGATGGTGAGTGGGCGCTTGCTCGACGCCGAGGAGACAGCGCTACTGCTAGACGCCTTGGAACTCCGAACGCGTGTCCAAGAAGCCCGAGACGCGCCCGCTACAGGAGCAACGGAGGACGGCCCTCTCGTGTCCGTTCCCGCGTTCTGGGACCTTCTCGTGGAACATGTCCCGGGCTTGTGGGACAGGGAACTGCAAGAAAGGCTGGAGGCCGAAGAAGTGTGACAACACAGCGTGTAATTTTTGAAAGACCACCCATTCCGTGTGCATACTCACCTATTAATTTACGGGAATGGAGAAGTTCGATGGCCTGGGTGGCGGGGACGGGGTATAGCGTTTAGCAACGCGTATACTCGACAGTGGTACAAGTACTGGGAAATATCCCCTTTAACTCGTACAAGCTAGCAGAAACTTACGAGCTTTGTTCGTTCTGGTTCTTGCGAAGTACCTGCGGCGAGTGGTTTCCTATTTCCACATGAAGCGTTTGCCTAAAAGATCCACCTGCTCAACTCTTGTAACGGCCGAACATCCTACGACAGAATATCTCGGAAGAGAGACCCATCGCCACCTCCACATCCGCCCCACCCAATGTTGACCGCACCCCAAGCATGGAACGACTTACAGCATCGAGGGTCGTCTCATTTTCATCAACTACAGGTCGAAAGGCAAGCGCAAGAACTGAGGAGCCGCCAGTCTGCAGCGGCGCTTACTATCCAGGGAGCGGCGAGGCAGAGACAGGCAAGCCACATACCTTTCTGTGCGATAAACCGTAGAATGCTTACACCTGAGGAAAGCCCGGTGTTGGAGACCCGGAGACGTACGCGGGGGCGTCGGATGTGGAGCGGGGTGAAAGGGGAAGGGCATTATATTTATCTTTCGTGGAGAGTTGAACCATGTAGGACACGATTTACGAAATGCTGTGCCCCAAGGGCATAGTGCAACGTGTGAAAGAGGTGTTTCGGTTCTCATGGCAAGGGACACGTGGCATCAGCATGATACCCCGAGGTCGAACGTAAGATGCCCACAATCGTTTTCCGTTTGTTGATTCAATATTTCTTGCTGAAGTTGGCTGAAGTGATAACTTCGACAAACGCAATGGCTCTTCCAAACATAAGCACCATACGAATAATCGTAATCGCTTTGCCTTGTACGCGAGATGTTCCCTGTATATCCGCAAGGACCACGTTTCTGTTTTCGGATTTGATAAGAGGTTCTCTCATCGACTTGCGGTGGGGGCATTGGGTTCTCCCTGCTCCGAAACGCTATGTCAATCCCGCCCAACAGGCACGAAGAGTGGTGAGAGACGCGCGAGCCGCTGTGGAAGAAAAGGCCAAAGCGGCGACTACCGTACAGAAGGCGGTGCGGCGACGACAGGCGAGCGAATGCGCGTGGCCACACAATACCCATTTTGTGTGCCACTGGGGGTGTCTCTCACTACCCCGTTTCAAGTACATATCAATACAGACATGCTCGACTCGGCTTTGTGCTTGACATTGCCCTTCTTCCCTCTCGCCTCTTGTTCAGTATTCGAGCCCTTTTCACCCTCCCCTCCATGGCCACACCTCAGCTACACCAAAAGCAGGTACGCCTGGATCGCATCAAGTCGCACAAGGCCGCGACGCGCATTCAGGCGATGGAGAGAGGCCGCATCGCCAGGCACCACGCCGCCGCCGAGAGGGCAGCGAGGACGGCCGCCGCGGCAAAAGCGCAGGCGGAAGCGCAAGCAAAGGCGGAGCTAGAGGAGTCCGCCCGACGCCTCGCGGCCGCCACGGAGGAAAGGAACGCCGCCCGGGCCGCCGTCAAGATACAGTGCGCTACCCGTCAACGGCACGCGCGCGAAGAAGTGTCGCGACGGCGCCGCCGACAGCAGGAGGAGGCGGCCAGACTAGCAGCAGCGGTCAAGATCCAAAGCATCGCGAGAGGGCGACAAGCGAGGGCGGCGGCGGAGGAAGCGCTCAGCCGACGGCGAGAGGAGGCCGCCAGACTAGCAGCGGCGGTCAAAATCCAAAGCGTCGCGAGAGGGCGACAAGCGAGGACAGTGGCGGAGGAAGCGCTCAGCCGACGGCGAGAGGAGGCCGCCAGACTAGCAGCGGCGGTCAAAATCCAAAGCGTCGCGAGAGGGCGACAAGCGAGGACAGTGGCGGAGGAAGCGCTCAGCCGACGGCGAGAGGAGGCCGCCAGACTAGCAGCGGCGGTCAAGATCCAAAGCGTCGCGAGAGGGCGACAAGCGAGGACGGCGGCGCAGGAAGAGCTCAGCCGACGGCAAGAGGAGGCAGCCAGGCTAGCGGCAGCGATCAAGATCCAGAGTAACGCCAGAGGGCGACTGACGAGGGAGACAGCCAAGGAAGCCTTTCGCCGGCAGCAAAAGGAAGAGGCCAGGCTTACAGCGGTGGTGAAGATTCAGAGCGTCGTGAGAGGGTGGCTGGCGAGGGAATCGGCCAAAGAGGCGGCCGAAATCGCGGCATTGGACGCAGCCATCACGGCTCGGCAGGCGAAGATGGCAGAGGAGGTGCGACCAGGCGCGGCGGGGGCCGATCAAGGACGGGGGGGGTGGAGGAAAAAGAGCGTGGTGGGCGCACGTTGTGTGCAAGGCTTGGCGGGCCTCCAGGTTCAGGTCCCACCAAATGACAACGCCGTCTAATATATCGTGGCGTGAAGGGTTCGATGTCGTGGGCGTTTCGGTGCAATTGATAGGTGGATGTTCGTTTTCGTATGTCCGTGCCGTGACGACGAGCAAAGGCCACGACAAAAAAAACAGAAAAACACATAGGACCACAGCAGTAGTCTAGGATTATCCGCGATACGACGTCGGGCTTGATATGTCGATTAGGTTTTGCGTGGAAAGTTGCCATGTCGGGATCATCTGTTTTCATTTTGTTTTTTCTCTATCTCCACAGGCAGAATACTCCGAAAGCAAACTGGTCCCCCTTGTGGCTCACTTCTCAACCTCCCGGCCTTCCGGCCTTTGGACGTGAAGTCGAATCTCGGCGCGGCAACACGCACCGGGCGGAGCCCACGACTTCGGGTGTTTTCTCACCTCCACTGCCCACACAAAGGTTGGGTTGCGAACGTTTCCTGTCTACACATAGACTATAGGGACGGCTTAACCATTCTCACTATGTAGAGGTTTAATGGCAATGTCGGGAACGGCGGGGGCAATTGATTTGTCCTGTGCGGTCTTCCTCCTTGCGACCCTTGCGCCCAGAAACAAACGTGCCGACAGGTTCAAGAATCGACTCTCTCTGGAAAGCAAGACGCTAACAGTCCTGAGTAGACACCCCGGAGTACCAATTGTGTGCCATACACACAGTACATGCATTGGGGAAATTCCATCGGTGCACGCACGTCGCACGACCCTCACTTCTTCCCGGGTTCCCGGATTGGGCGACGGGTAAATCTTGGTTGGTAGTATTGAAATCTTGGTCCTGTGTCGGAGCTTCGCAACACTGCATGTGCTGTATTTTCTGTCTCTTCAAAGCGGGGCAATCCCTCCCGAGTGGGGGGCTTCAGCGTCAACCGAACCAAAAGGACCTACAACCTGACCGGGGGGGGAGAGAAATACAGTACATCACCCGTTCGCAAAATCCTGGTTTGTCGAACCGGCGGGGGCATTTCTTGGTACCTCCCTACAAACGGGCACACGGGGCCCCCATATCGACTCTCCCGCGGCCATGTGTGTGCCGCTGTGCTCAACATGCTGCTCCATCTGCAGTGTCACGCGCGCTTCTTGCGACACCTGGGACAGCACGCAACAAGAGGGAAGCTTCCACTGTTGAGGCGACACGGATTGTTGTGCTTGGCTGCACCGGGAGGAATCAGCAGGACAGAGAGGGACAAGAAACAAGACCTGGAAATTTTCACAATTTGCTGCTGCTGTAGCCTAGCGCAGCCGCGCAGCTTTGATATCATAGGACAGAGGGATGGGTTCTCCGACAAACCGCACTACCAGCAGTCGGAACAACGGGCGACACAACCCCGATGCCTCTACTCTCGCGCGTGGGAACTCGTCCTCGCCCTCCATGAGCGGCACCGGGGCCTCCGGACCGTCTTCCGACTCTCGTAACGTGGCGGGAGGGCCGCTGGCTTCTTCCTCGTACATCAGGTCGTCCGCAGTCGTCGTCGGCGGCGGCGGCGGCAACACGGCAGCAGCAGCAGCAGCAGCAGCAGCAGCATCGCCGGAGGCGGGATCGGCAACGGCGGAGGGTCACCTGGCCGGCTTCGCCCCGATCGGCGTGCCGCGGCAGATGGTGCCGACGATATCAGGTGTGGTGTTTACTGTCAAGAGTACTGGGTATCGATTTTCAAAAAGTTTATGTAATGTACCCAAATCTATTATTTACAATGCTCAAGCTGCCTACCTCGTGTAGACCATGTACGGTGTGATGGTGTGCATACCAGGTAGGTACTTCGGGTGCACAGGTAGGACGTGATCTGTCTGCTGTGTGTGTGGCCACCTCTGCGAGGCGCAGTGGGATCGACACCCTTTTTCAGCTGCACCCATAAGAACGGGGGATTCTCTCTGGAATGGCTCCACAGGTATACATCCGCATGTTCCTGAGGCCACTGCCGCACGGGTTGCTCCTCCTCCCTCTGTATATCTTCTCCTCGACAATACCGATTATAATGCAAACAAGCAACAACCTGCCCAACCAACAACCCTCCCTGACAGCTTTTCTTGGCCTCTGGCCGTTCTCCCTAACCCCTCCCACGCAATGCAAACAAAAAACCCAACGAATCACGCAGTAGAGGTGCACAGCACGGAGCACTCCTCCCACGAGGCTCCCCTCCCCCCGGACACCCGGGCTCCGACGCTGACGAGCGTGATCGCCAACCACGCCGGGGAGCGCGAGGCGGCCGACTTCTTGGCGTCGGCGAAGGCGGTCATGCCTCCCGGCGGCAAGGTGCCGGAGGTGTTCACTCACAGGTGTGTGAGTTGGGGGGGACTACAGCAGCATTACGCGCGGTTGTGCTATTACCAGCAAGCTGCTCTACTTCACGCAGTACACTGCTGTAGTATCCCTTTGTTTTGTCTACCTTGTTGTGGACCGCATCCGCCGTGGTCCACGGCAGGTACAATCCCTTACACACACGCCCGAGCGTCGTCTCGCTTTTCCACTGCAATCATGCACATAAGTCGGCCACCGCGTAGTTCGCAATATGTGATTTTTTTTGGGCAACCCTCTCGGCAACCTTCCTCCGCGACGAAATCAACAGAGAATTGCATATGGTACAAACCACGTCTTTCGGGGCATGCTTTGCATGCGTTTGTCTACTGGGGAGGAGGTGATCCTCTCCTTTTTGATTCACAACTATTTGCCTCGGCCTCAAATGCAAGTACCCATTCCGTTAGTAACACACGCCGCGCCTTCGTTTGATTCGAAACGTACTGCACAGCAGCGAAGAGTACCGTTGGTTGCGTAAGATAGCACACTCCCTGAACCGATTGCAAAGCTCCATTACTCTGCAGCGATAAAACGGCGACGAGTGCCGAAGATGGCGGCGTTGGAAACGTCTTCCCGCCCGCCAAGAAGAAAAAAAAATACAATTCCATCTTGCTGTAGATGCAGCTAGGTGACAGATCAATCGACCCCATACGGGCCGCATCCTCGGCCCTGGATAGAGGCTGCCAACTGGCCCCTTCCTGGACCCTTGCGCTCCTGTCGCCGCGAGCATCCGAACCCATCCCCCCCCCCCCTATCTGCTGCCCTNTAGATGCAGCTAGGTGACAGATCAATCGACCCCATACGGGCCGCATCCTCGGCCCTGGATAGAGGCTGCCAACTGGCCCCTTCCTGGACCCTTGCGCTCCTGTCGCCGCGAGCATCCGAACCCATCCCCCCCCCCCGTATCTGCTGCCCTTCTTGTTCATTCTCCTCAGCCCGGAGGTCGTAGGCGAGAAGGAGGTGCAGACGGGCATCGAAGCTCTGGACGTCGCCGAGCAGGTGTTAGCCGTGCACCTGTGCCTTGCCATCTCTTGCGGAGTGGTATACCGCACTGCTGGTTTGTGTGGCGATACTCTTGTTGCTTGAGAGTCCCGTTACCGCCTGGCATGTACCTGTTGTTCATGTTCACTTTGGGCGATGATTGCAGGAATCCTGCGGTACAGATGGGATAGGGCAGGGTGAGATGGGTTGGTTTTTGGATGAGCCCCTCGTCTTCCTCTGTCGAAGCCGCTGCAGTATTGGGTAGCCTGGCTACGTTGCTTGTCCTGGCTGCTGCTGCTCTACGGAGGCATGCCTACACTCACCTACTCGCATCAATGCACGAGAACTGTGGCGTGGCGTGGGCATGGTGTTGGCCACTACCACAAGCAGCGAGCACTAGCAGCAGTGGGGCAGTGCCGCCGCTCTCTGACCCTCTCCACCCTTCATCCAACGTGAGCCTCTGCCCCGTGCGCCCCCCCCCCCCCCCCCCCCCCCCCCCCCCCCCCCCCCCC